GAAAAAGGTGCGTGAAAAAAAAAAAAGGTGCGAGGGGGAAAAAAAAAAGGCTGTCTGTAAGAAGGCTGCAGTTGCACGAAAGTAAGAGTTTCGTGTAATTGTTGGAAACTGAGCCTTTAGTTGCAACAAACGGGTAATAGGCCTGTAGTTGCAGTGAAGTAGTAAGTCCTAAGCCTCTATTAAGCTTCCTTCACAAAATCCTTACCAAGCTTTTATGTGCAGTAACGTAATAAATTTCAAGCCTTTACTAAGCTTACAAATCATTTACCAAGCTTCTAATTGCAGTAAAGTAGTAAGTTCGAAGCCTCCACTAAGTTTCCGATTGCCAGTATATAAACAATAAATTCTAAGCGTTTACTTAGCATTCACTCAGCTTCTAATTGCAGTAAAGTAATCAATTCTAAGCCTCTGTTAAGTTTTTCATCGCAGCAAAGTGGTAGGTTTTAAGCTTTTGCTGAGCTTCTACTTGCAGTAAAGTAGTAAGCCTTGGCACGTCGCCGAGTCCAAAAATATTTCGGAAAACGAGGACTAACTAAACTTTCCCCCTAAATATAGGGGGGTTTACTCGAGCCAGCCAGATCCAGGAACCTTTAAGTATAGGGGTATTGACTCATCAAGAGCACGGATTACATTCAACGTATGCACGGCGGGTTTTAGGGTTGCAAGATGTTTCACGTATGGGCAACAAGTTTGTAGGTGGCTCTACCAGCTCCGCAACCTTGCGCTCCCCAAGCATTCCTGGGGCAATTGGTTGTGCATGCTGCATAGCCGCTAAAGTTGGCTATGTGCAGATGTCGAGAATCACGTTTCGCATCTGTTCTATGACTTTTGTGCTACGGGTATGTGTAGTCTATATATGTATATATGTGTGTGTGTGTTTGTGTGTGTGTAAAATCCTTGTCCCTAAGGGTTGACTAACAATTTCGAATGTGAAATGAAACAAAGGGCCCAAGGACTACGGGATGGCTTGGGCCGCCAACGAAGACTCACCCAGTATGCCGTGTAAACGTACTTGTTGCAATGACGCACCAGGGGCAACATGTTCCAGATGGTGGTCTTTCAATATGTCGTTTCTGAGAATGCTTCGTGATCCTTCTTGATCAGATATGAGTGTTTAGTTGCGCTAGATGAACCTCGAGATTTGTAGGCTTAGCAATGGCAGATGCAGCAAATCGCAACATTGAGACATAGATCGGTTCCGACACTTAAATAGTTTTCTCAAACCGTTAACTCAGGTGTTCTAGCGGAGGACGGCCATGCCGACGCCACCTGAACCCACTTGATTCGGGGCCACGCTGCCTGATCCACGAAAACGACAACGGCGGGCGTCGGTCAGCTGGCTGCGGCTGCTTGAGTGCATTGTGGCCATGCTGCCAGTGTGCCCGCCGCTCTCCGAGAATGCGGCACGCAAAGTGCATTTGGCGCGATGGACCTCACTGATGCTGCCGTGCAACGAGCGCCCACCACATTTTTATGCCCGTCGATGCGGATGCGGGAGCGTTTCCTGGTGATCCAATGCTGCGCCACCCTGATCTTCAACTGAAACCCACCCTGCTTCTCCTGCTGTCTGCTTAACTTCACTGCATCGGGACCACGCTTTGCTTCGACGGAAAAATCTTGCAAAACAGCACGGTGTTGTTTCTAGTTACTGTATGGTTTTTTGTTCGTGCCTCATCGCCGGTTTGCAACGGTCGACTGTTGCCGGGATCTGCGGCTTAGGAGCAACGCACGTCGGCTCTGACCGAACCTGCACTCACCTGCGCACGGCAACTTGAGCAGGGCGGCGTTGGACTGTCAGAGAAGCAGGGATAGCATAGCAGTAAAGCGCAGGCAAGCATTAACAGAGGCCCGAAATACAGTGAAGGGAAAACGAGCTAGACAGGAGCTTCACTACGAATCGTCAGCAAACATTGTGGCATCCTATCTGCATCAAGACGAATGTCAGGCAGAGGGCCGGCAACTTGTTCGGCAAGCTTTCGAGATTCACCCCTCGAAAATTTCGAGGGTGGATTGTTCGTCGACCAGTCCCCCAGAACGGCCACTTTCAAAGCAGTGACATCCATGATATTTAGTTATTGAAGAACCAATCATTTTTCTTTAAAGCAAAGACATTTGTGTCAGTTACATGTCTGCAGCAGCTTCTGAACCTGCAAGGTAGCTGGTGCTGAAGGTTGCAGGATGATTTACAAACGTCTGCAAGCGGGAAGAAGGTTAAACACGGGCAGTGTTTGCAGCAAAATGCAGCAAACAAGCAAACAAGCAAACACCAAGCAAGCATAGCAAGCATGACATAGCTGAATGTATGCAAAAGTCAGAGAGGGAAATGGTATCTCATTTAGGTCAGTCTTCTCAGGCAGAATTACAGCAGCCTGCAGCCAATGCGATGGCCATGAATGGGCTGGCTGCAACGGCAAATGGGTTGACAACGGAAAAACCGTTCTTGCCAAGGGTTATCGAGTTTGTAAAAGCTCGTGGCTCTCAGGATGCGAACACGAAGACTCGCAACGAAGACGACGAGCCACAAGAGCCACAGTATTTTCTATACCCACCGGAAAGGTTGCACAAGTTGTTCGGCGAGACGAGTCCTCGAAGAGTTGGACGCGGTCTCCAAAATCTGGGAAACACCTGCTACTTCAACAGTGTTCTGCAAGTATTGACTTACGCGCCACCTTTGCAGAACTACTTGTTGACGAAGGAGCATTCTGCAGGCTACGCCAAGCGGGATGGAACCGTTTGCACATTGTCATTGTTTGAAGAGCACGTGCACGCCGTGTTCGAAGCGCAGAAAGCAGCGTTTCGGCCTTTGGGTCTGCTGCGCCACCTTCCGCAAATAGCAAAGAGGTTTCAGTCAAGAGGGCGGCAGGAGGATGCGCATGAATTCTTGATTCATTTCTTGGATTCGAGCCTTGGATCAAAATATATATGCGGTCGGGTGCAAGTTGATTTTGTGGATACTTGATCCAAGCACTCATGCAGCCAAAAGGTGTCACAAGTCTTTCTTAAAGCATGCCGCCACAGAGACATCCACGCCGCGACCGGTGCGCCGCTTACCATCGCACTGCTGGCTTCCGCAAGGCAGTGCTGAATTCTGCGACTGACAGGTTCAGCAAACCACAGTAATCGGCCAGCTTTTTGGTGGACATCTGCGTTCTCAGGTTGGGATGAGACCGACTTTGTAGGTAGTTCATATTTCCTGGTGTTTCTGTTCGTCTGCCAGTATACAGCCGCCCATCTTCTGATACAACAGGTGCTTTGCAAAAGATGCAAGCATCCGTGCGGACCTCCAACTTGTGAGATGACAGCTGTGAGTCAGATGTGATTGCCGTGGCTGCTAAGGTCGAACACCTTCGACCCATACATGGACATCAGTTTGGAGGCTTCTTTGTTCCAGGGCGAGATAAAAGCAGAGACGATCTCGTGGAACGTAGCCTGGGACGTAGCTGTGGAGGTCCAGAATGCAAATACCCTCGAGAAAGCTTTGGAAGGCTTCACCCGCAGCCGCCTGGCAATGGGGTTTTCTCCGGTTTCTCGATTGATGCACATCGGACACGCCAAACCAAACCAGTGCCCTGCCGATGACCTCTGTGAGGTGAAACCCTTTCTGGTGCCAACAAGTACATGTGCAAGAAGTGCGCACAAAAGGTTGATGCCAGCAAGAGGTCCCCGCAGTAGTTCGTGATGCTTACGTCTTTTCTTGTCCGGTTGCGGCATGCAGGTTCTCGATTCATACTGCTCCTCCCCTGCTGACCTTCCAGTTGAAGCGCTTTGATTTTTTCCACGGCTTACGGGGACCCCAGGCTGCAGAAAGACTGTCAGACTTGTGTCGCCAACACCATTGTTGCAAGCCAAGGTAAGCTCAAAAAGTTAGTGAAGTTTCCTACGTCGCGCACTTGAGTCACTTGAGCGACTGTCAGAATAATGTTGTTGACAGTGCCAATGCCACTAAGGTCTCTAGACATCGCGCGCTTTACGAGCCACCCTGAGCGCCAGGCTGGAGCTAGCAACAAATGCTGCCTGACGTCTCTGAGCGATGACACTGCGAGTTGCTGCGTGCTGCAAGCCTTGCATGCCTGTCAGCGTTCTTCAGTTGTCGCACGGCAACATCCCAGTGCAGCAGCCTTCTTTGGTTGTGCCGTGTTTTGGCAATCGGACAGCCAGGCTCGGTACCGGCTGTATGGCGTCGTCGTTCACTGTGCTTTGCCCGCATGTGTTGCCTCAGAGATGCCACAACGAGTCCTGATGGGGGTGTTTCGGTGACTTAAACGCACCTGCAAGCGACTCAGGTGGCCATTCTGCCAAGAGTGGGCATTATATTGCCTTTGCCTGGCACAGAGACGTTTGTGTACTGGAGGGGTGCTTCTGGCTTCGGCTGGGATGGAGAGATTCCGTAGCTTGCAAAGGCCAAGCACAACGGCACCTGGCACTGTTTCAACGATGAGGTGCATGCTCTGCCAGCGCACAGTTCCGTTATAGGAGCCTGTTTTTTAACCGTGGCAGCGCCATGGCCAGACCGTCCGGACAGTTGGAGAGCCCGAAGTGCTAAAGCAGGAGGCTACTGCAGATGGACCGGACATCAGTGATCACACACCGTGGTGACTGTTGTGGGCTTTTTACGTGAGAGGCTTACTTGCTCTTCTACATGTCTGCCAAGAGCTCAAACCTTTCGCGCCAATGGCCCTCTCTTTCCTGGTTGTGCAATAAAGGACATGGCGCAGAAGGTTGCAAAAGCGAGCACTGCAATGCCTTCAAAGGAGGCACGAGATCGAAACTTGAAAGGCTTTGCCTTCCGCAATCTTGAGCATCCCCTGCTGTGGCGAGGTCAATGGCATAACGGCTAACCATCTCCCATCTGCAGTGCTCGCCTCATGTGCAAGTCTTGAGAACGTCCGGGAAGGGAGTGCAAAGAGAGAGTTGAAGCTGCCAGCGTGGGGCATCGGCCTTGTTGATGGAATTTCTGGCGCTTACCCTTGCGCGTGGCTTAGGCGCACACAAATGGCAAAGTGAACGGTGTGGTGAAGCACAACGGCTCCTCGGCTGTACTAGGTGTCTTGTGAAAGATGAAGCATGTTCGGCTTGCAGGGACGCATGTGGAGGAGCTGCATTTGAAGAAGTCCGAACCTTTGCCGGACAGCTGAAGAGAAGCGGCCGCACACAAGAACCAGATTCCAGGTCCCCTCCCGAGGAGCCTGCAGGCACGGCGAAGAAGCCTCCCGAGGCTTTGCTCTACTCGGCTTGGGCTCGCGCCTGACATCCTTTTTCATCCGGTGTCAGGCCGCAGAGAAGGCTCCGAAGGATGCTCCGAAGGAATTTGCCAGGACTTTGGGCAACAGGCCTGTGGACTTCTCGTGGCTTTCCATGATCCCCCACGGCTTCACACTGTCTGCGCAGGTCACGCTTGTGTCGCTTAAAGCGCTTGCGCCAGTTTCAGGCACTGCTGTGAACGTTGAGTGACCTCTATAAAGCCACTGAATGGTACTGCGCGTCTGAGGCCTGCCTCAGCCTCCGTGCCGAACGCAGGCCCTTGGCAGATGGCCGGTGTCTGATTTTCTCGTGGCCGCTGCCAGTTCCGTCATCTTCTTCATCAGTCGTAGGTTCAGGCTGAAACCACGGCTGCCCAAGTCCGTGAGGTCCGAACCCTGCCGACATTGCGCGGAGAGCTTACAGTGTGGAGCTTCACACTTGCTGGCTTATCGGCACCATTGTAGATGAGGCCTCCGCCGAGCAAGAGAGCGAAAGTCGTCCAGCAAGATGCGGCTGAAAGGGTCCGCCCTGCCGATTTCATGCGTAGGCATTGGACGCTAAGTTCCATGCCCAAGGCGACTGCTTGTGACGGCAGGTGGCTGCATCTATGGATTACTCTACGCAGTATGGCCAAGCGGAGGCTTGCCATGGCGAGTAGGGCATGCGGCATGAGCTTGGAGGTCATGCTGCCATGGTGCAGACGGACCCGAAATGTGGTGTAAGACCCCGTGTGAGGTTTCTGCAGTGATACGTGTGGGCAGAACAGAAGCGAGAACCAGTTGTGAACACTTCGGGGTCGCCTTTTCGATGTGGTCGCGCGCGCAGTTGGTGGGTCTGGAGTGTGGGATCCGCGCTGGCATTGAGCCGCTAATAGCGGAATTGTGTCCTTTGTGGGAAATTGAAGCCGGGACAGAATTGAAGCATGTTGAGGTCCTTGCTCTCTGCTTGAAACAAATTGACTCCCTACCTCAAGCCTCTGGACCGAGTGGAAGCAGAAGACGTGGAAGGGAGTGTGCAGCATGTAGCAAGGCACATCGTGGAGAGTTTCAGGACGACGGTCGTACCAGAAACCGAACAATAGAGTGCGTCTGTCATGAAAGCCTGTGGCCGTGGGTGGTCACAGACCGTCGCAAAGCTCACAGATCTCTAGTGAGTCGCACGGCTTCAGATGGCACGGGAGTTCTGCAGATTCCAAGGTAGAACGATGGGACGACCAAACTTTGACAGAGGAGCAGCACAAGGCTTTTCAAGCAGTGCAAACCTCAATTGCCTTGCACTGGGTTATGCTTCACGCCAGCTTGGCTCACTGAGTAGTTTGATGTGTTTCTGCTGCCATCGCTAGGCAGCATATCGTTAAGGTCCAAGAGAAGCTGCAGCCCCTTCCGCAACATCGGGACGAGCTTGACATGGAGTACGATGCCTCTGCCTCGGGTATTGCGGTGTCGCGGATCCGGAGGCGCGATTGAAATCACTGCTGCGTCGTAGGTCGGAAAGAAGAAGCACAAAGCCAAGAAGTCGAAGGTGCAAGCTCCAGAGTGGATCGTTGAAAACCTGCGTGGACTGCATGCTCGATTGCTGTGCAACTTCGCATTTTGCGGGTCGGGCGTTCAAGGGCTCGAGTGGGATGTGTGATAAGGTGTAGCAGGTTTTGAGCCCTTCCGCACCCTGTCTTCCCGACGATGCGAGTCATGTTTCTGTGAAGTGCTGCTTGGGTGGTTTTGCTGCAGAGAAAAAAGTAGATGGCCTGTCAACAACATACGGGTTTAGTCTTTACATTCATTCGCAGAGGCATCCGTGCCGCTTGAAGGCAGTATTGGAGAGTGAATCAAGCATTCAACCTTGATATTTCTCTTTAGAGGCGCTGGTTTGGTGGTTGAGTATCTCTTTGGTAACAGGTCGCTTTCGAGGGCCGATCTGCCTTCGACCTGGAGGACTGCGGATCACGGTCTTTCCTCTCTATATAATTACATAATTGTGTGTTCATGTTCCGTTACACCGTTTTCGTTGCCATTGCCAAGCTTCTTCGAGGTCGGCGGATGTCGCCGGCTTCCTCTGGAACATATACATGTACCGCCTTGATTGTATAATGCATTTCTATTTTCATCTGCTGTCCGCTGCCCATCCCGTCACCCTTCTCCTTGTTTTGATGGATTCTTCTAATGGCGCTGCACCACGCACCACCCCCCACGCACCACCCACCACCCACCACCACCGACCACCATGCACCCACCCACCACCCCGACAGCTATGACCACCCCCACCCACCACCCGACCGCACCACCACCCGGTCATGTGCGTGCAGGAGCAGAGAAGAAGAGCTGCAAAGACGGGCGCAGGCAAAGCAATGTACTGTGCTGTATTGTGTACAGTGTACAGCATGTAACCGAATTTGGTGCTTGGCACTTCGGCTTCTGCAGGTCGTGGCGACGGGCAGGGCAAAGGCAAAGGCAAAGGCAAAGGGAAAGGCAAAGGCAAAGGCAAAGGCAAAGGAAAGGGCAAAGGGAAAAAGGGCTCAGGCGACACAGCAGCATTCGTTACTCAGTTTGCAGGTCCCGCAGATTCCTGCACCCAGCAGCCTGCAGGTAAGGGCAAGGGCAAGTTCCGATGAAAGGGCAAAGGCTCGCGTAGCCCAGGGTTACAGCTTCGGAGCTTTGAAGGGGCGAAGCTCAAGTTGATAGCGCACCATCTCCTGCAATGACGTGGGAAGCTTTCGCTGTTATGACCCGGCCAAAGGACTTTGTACTGCGAATGCTATAGTGCTCGACTCGACCATTCAGTCACGCACCTGCTGCCGACCGGGTCTTTCAGCTGTTTTGCCTGCCAGGGGGGGTGTTTCCATAAACCGCCCTCAACCTGCTCAAAGGCATGTCGGATGCTAATGCACAGAACTCACAGGCTTTTGGCCTGCAGTGATACTTCGCCCCACGAGGGCCAAAGCGTTTCACTCAGAGAAATTCGCCTCGGAACGCATGTGCGATGCACATGCCGGTTCGGCGTGAGGCTCAGACTGGCTTCTCGACTCGCAGTCGTTGCTACCCTCATAGGGTTGGAGCCTCGGAGTGTCCAGCGCTCGAATCTTTTACGTAGAAAGGGAGGCTTTGCACACTGCGAGGCTTGCTGCCGTGACTGGAGCAGGTCATGTTGACAGCCTTGCTGATGCCACATTCCCCCCTGTTGCCGACAGCTGTTTTCGTTGTAGCATTTGCCGGAATAGAACATTTGAGGCTGAGAGAAACTTAGCAAGACAGGTGATGCCATGATTCGCATTCAAAAACCATGCCGATCTGGCCTGTGCCAGTGTTGTGTTAGTGCATAGATGCCACTCCTGTACCGCGTCACTTGAGATGGCCGATCCGCAAACGAAGCGAATCGTGGACTGGGTTACCCAGCATGGTTTCGATCGCATTGCGCTGCAGTTTCCAGATGCGATGCTACCAGACGCACCATACGTGGTAGCCAGAGTGCAGAAGGCTTTGCCAGAGAAGCGAGCCTTCATTTTGGGTGACTCCTCTTTTGGCGGAGGAGGCGTTGACGAAGTTGGAGCTCTGCATTACGGCGCAGACTGCATCGTGCGCTTCGGGCATGCAGAGCAGCAGAGAGGTGGTGACTTGCCAGTGCTGTTCGTGTTCGGAGAGCAGAAGGACCTGGAATCTTTCAACGACATTCCCACCATAGCGAGCACTATCCGTGCGCACGCTGAAACCTTGCGACGTGCATCTTGGTGGTACGAAATGTATTCAGTCGACTTGACAGTCCACGCTTTCTCCAGTAGTCGTACTCGTCTCGTGAGCCCGGGACCTCCCAAGCCCCGCCAGAAGCCTCTTCCCACTTGTTTGCCCCACTACTGAGCTTTCTTATCGCAAGACTGGGTACAGCTCATGCTGGCAGGCTAACTTCGACAGAGCATAGGTGCCTCCAGCGTCTGCATATCGAGTGTGCATCGTGCCAAAGTCCTTGGCTGGCTTTTTGGGGCTGGTTGCGGTGCGAACTCTCCTTGTTGCCAGTCTTTTCAATTTACAGTGGCTCCCTCGAAATCAGATAGGTAGCGTGTTCCGGGCCCAGATCGTCGCATGAGTTATCCTGATGCCATCCAAATCTCGGGCTGACAAGTTATCCTGCTAGAATGACTTGGATTGAGTTGTGTGTCTTCTTAACTGAGTCCCACATAAGGACGCTTCCTGCTTGGTCGTGGTATGTGACCTGGCATACCAGCACTTTGGGGGACCTCTTGCCGAAGCTTTCTTACACGAGCTAGGTCAAGGAGAGGGCCGCTGGCGGATCTTGATGACCGAGTCTTTTGAAGAAGCTTCAGCCGGTGACATCTTGCCTCGCTGGCATGATTGGCGCTGGGGCACCGTGGACTTCGCTGAAAACTGGTGGGCTGTACTTGGCACCTTGACTCGCGCAGCGGCCGCCCGGCCAAATCAGCTCAAAGTCTGCGGGCGGGTGGTCACCTCGGTTATGGAGAAAGGCCGCCAGCCCTGCTACGAGCACTCTTTGCCAGATGACACAACAATCCTATACTTGGGTCTGCCGGCCTCCACTCTTGAAAGGTGCGTGCTCCTCCGTTTCGGAGGTGTTTGCCCTGTCTGGCGCCTTTGCAGCCAGGCAGAGGAGTTCAGGCTAAGCCAAGGATCTACCAAGGTAGATCGAATTTTCAGCAATAGCCTTCTGCAGAAGAGGTACCGCTATGTGGAGGCGGCGAAAAGTGCTGCAACCGTTGGCATACTACTGGTAGCTGCAGGTGGCCCAACAACATTGGGGCGCGCGTTGGCGCAGCGTCTGGAGATTCTGCTCACAAAGGGGGGGCGAAAACACTACAGATTCGTTGTGGGACAGCCGACGCAGGAGAAATTGGGGAACTTCCCGGAAGTGGAATGTTATGTGCTTCTGTGCGGTCCGGAGCAATTTACATGGGATGTTCAAGACTTGATGGTGCCAATCTGCACTCCTTTCGAATTGGAAGTTGCTTTGGGAGCCCGCCGGTGGACCGGTGAGTATATCACAGACCTTGAAGAACTCCTGTTGTCGGCGCCCATGACTCACCTCTTGTCTGCTCTGCCTGCAGAGAGCGAGGTGGTGGTGCAGTCCCTTGGAAAGTCTCGCATCAAATCCATCACCAACGCAAGCACAGCAGCATCCTCACAGCTTCATTCGGCCCCGAGCGTTTCAAGGCCACCTCCTGCAAGCATCACTCCTGGCCTGCACGGGGTACCGTGGAAGTACAGCCAGGAAGAGTCCTCCGCAGCTTGAGGCAAGCCAAAACGAGCGTTGCGCATCGCTAGGACCAAGAGGAGCTCTTAGGATGTGTTGGAGCGCTCTGGGCACTTGGGGCCACTCTGCCGCGCCTCTTTGCGATTGGGGATCAGAAGGGCGAGCCAGATTCACAGCAAGCTTTGAGCCTATACTGCTCCATAGTCTCAGATTCTCCCAGACCCTTGCAGCATGCGCCATTGCTCTCACAAGCCGGCAGGCCCAAAACAGAGGTACTTTAAGCCTTTTTTGCGGAACATTTGCTGCTTGGGTCCATCCCGCTGCACAAAGCGTGTGCGAGCAGCCCAATGGTTCGCGACAGCAAGCCGTCCCCGAACCTGGCGCAAGACTCAGCATCAGTTGTTAGAAAATAGTGTCTGCAATAGCCGCCTGGATGAGGTCAGGCATAAATGTCGGAATGAGAGGACGCTTGCAGACCGGGCTGGGGTCTTGGAAGCTGTTTAAAGCCATTCGCCTGCAGCGGACTGATGGTTTAGGCGGCGAAGTTCCAAGCGCCAGCAGGTGGGGTGGCAAACCGGCTTCCACAACGTCGCTGTCACGCCACTTGCTGAGTGCGACATCTTCTGTGAGGACGATTCCACAGACACACTGGCATCGTCTTCGCAATGCAGCTGCGCACAATGGGCCGGGCACTCGCACGGTTGCACTTGCGTTTTGCTTCCTACTGCCAAGCCATTCTTGAGATGCGTGTCAGATGCTTCAGGCTCACAAGCTATCAGTCAGTTGGTAAATTGGTCTCCTTCCTTTAAGACTGTACGTACATCACGTGTCTGTAGGATAAGGATTCGACAAGCAGACATGGCAATACTGTGTTGACTTCATCCTCCCTACTCATACAATGAATTTGCTTGACATCTGTCGTCTGCGCTTGCCACTTGCAGCTTGGTGCGATGGACTGCGTCGAGTGACGCTCAAACTGGACTGCGTGTCAAAGGCCACGTTGCTTTTGAGTAGAGTTTTTTCGAAGAAGCTTCGGCAAGACTGCCCGCAAACCCGCAACTCCTGTCTCCAAATTGCCAGAAGATGATTGTTGAGGCCTGTCGCTTATCTTGCAAGAACTTGCGCCGGTTGGGGAAGTCAGCAACTTGCCAAAGGTGAAACGGCTTGCGCAGATACAGGCAGCAGAGGAGCCAGGCATCCCATGAACCCGCTCCTCCAGGAAGATGGGCCTAGGTTGAGGTTGCTCAAGCACGCGCGTCTTGCAACGAAGCCATAGCGCAAGTACATCAGGCCAGTAAACTCACGGCAGTTACGACCATAAATTGAGCATCACAGAGTCTCCGAAACTGATGAAACTGCTGAAGCTCGCCACAGAAGTGTAAGAAGATGGCATCACATGCTGTCGACGCAAGCTCGGTGTGCACGACCAGGCAGCCTGTTCAGCATGGGCCGAAAAAAGGCCGGCGCAGACGGCACGGAAGGTTTCGGAGGATGTGGCATGGGTGGCATGGATAATATTCAGCTACTTTGCTGCAAGCACCAACATTTGCTGTTGGATGACACCGTTTGATGGTGCATTCCTTCCTTCGTCTCAAGCCAAGGAGTGCCTTTGCGCAGCTGCAGAACCTCATGTCAATGACTGCCATGGGCAAGCCGGCACCTGCATTGAACCCCATGGGAGGCTTGCTCTAGGGCTCTACCCTGCCGGCCCAGCCAGAAAGGGAGAGAGGGACAGAGACAGGTCTTGAGAGAGAGAGAGAGAGAGAGAAACCGAGAGAGAGAGAGAGAGCGTGCCAGTGAAGACTCCAATGCCGAGCACTCCATAAAACAGCGGGTGGTAAGGCAGGCCCATGGCCTGAGGGTCGCATGGACGACCCCTAAGCCCTGATGAAAGAAGGCGCGAGAGGGGGGCGGGGACCCGTCTCCGTCTTTGGCTCTGGAAGAAGAGAGAGCCCCGTAGCAAAGAAAAGCAAAACAGAGAGAGAGAGAGAGAGATAGCAAGCAAGCAAGCAAGATCGAGAGGGAAACTCTCCCATCCCGAGACGGGGCCACGAGGACTGACCTTCGCGAGCCACAGGGGTAGGCGTTCGGGCCAGGGTGCCTGCATGCACCCAAACCCCTCGCAAGCAAGCAAGCAAGATGTAGCAAGCGCCGGCGCCTTTCACACACCTCAAAAAACACCAAACGCAGGGCTGGAACGACCTCGCATGCCGCCTATGCTCGCTGGATCACAAAGGCAAGAAAACCCTCAATGAGAGTTTTCAGTTCAGAAGACGAATCAATCGACGAAGACGAGGAATGGCAACAGGAAGAAGAAGGAAGATGAGAAAGAGCTCAACCCGCTTCCCGAATCTGTGCTCGTAAACTGCAGGTCAGGCTGTCCCCAGCCCGCAGATGGCCGGGACAGGAACTATGCCGGCCGCGTTTGCGATGCATACGAACCCTGGAACACAAGCTTCCCAGGCCAGCTGAGAGACCGAGAGACCTATGGAAGCCGGTTGTAAATTGCTAGCAGCTACCGCAGCAGGGCTTCTGGGCTTCTCGCAGGCAAGCCGCATGCAGAAAGGGCGACAGACCGACAAAGATGGGTACGACCCGAATAAGATTTACGTGTCGGAGCACGGCCGCATCCATCCCGACATCACGGATCTCTGTGAAGGTGGGCCACCAGCTGTTGAAGGGTTTGAGAGGACCACCGGGCTGATGTAGTGACCACCACCTAGACCTAGGACCTTGGCTTCCCCGCAAGATTGGTCGCGAAACCGTGCTTGGGTCGACTTGCAGTCCAGGTTTCTACATCGAGGAGCGCCACGTGGAGAAGCTGAACGAGTTGATGAAAAACCGGAACCCCGGCACCTCATTTCGTCATGTTACAGGCTTGAGCAGACGAGGCGGCAGCGTTTAGGATGTTGGTGGTATCGTCGGTAGATCTGGGGATGATCGCCGGCATTGCATGTGGAGAAAAACAAGGCTGGACACTTGGGACGAAGATCTGAAAAAGCTTCGGCAAATCATGGAGAAAGCGCGATCTCCGCAACATGGTAAGCATTCTCGAAGAAGTGCATCTCACTCGAAGCCCTAGAAGGCAATTTCATCGTTCGCAGGCCTAGAGATTTCTAGACGGAACGGAGCCGTGCCATCCGTGCCTGACATAGGTAGTCCTGCCACAACTTCTGATGTGACATCAGGTGCGGTATGCTTGTCGTGAAGATGAAAGAGATCGAGGATGGCATATTCGTAGCAGTGAATCGCGACAAGCGCATGAAGCATCTCGCGGAGAAGTTCAGACTCGATGACATCGCTCAGACGAACATCGCTGACATCCTCGCGAGATGCTCAGAGGAGAAGAAGGCAGAGTACTACCATGATCTGGAGAAGCACTTTGAGTGCTCGGGGAAGCCGTCCGCAACGGCCATGCTCTTGATCAAAAAGCTTGCAAGCGGCGATCCGCTCGGTCCCCCAGGCCGGCCTGCACCAGGCAGCTACTTGGACCGTGTGCAACGAGGTGACAAAGGAGAGCCTCGTTCGGAGAGGGACAAAGAGGTCAGGGACAGGGGAAATGATCGGGGCCGAGATCAGCGGAACGAGCGAGAACGGGACAGACCTGCCGATGCTCGACGCGACCGCTCTCGCGATCGAGGCTTTGATCGCGACCGTCGCGATGACCGGGGCGAAGGAAGAGGCCTGCGAGACCGCGAGCGCCGAGACCGCGACGACCGCCGAGACCGCGACGACCGCCGCGAAGATCGCCGGGACGACCGTCGCGAGCGTCAGGGTCGCAGAGACGATCCTCCTCGTGAGCCCAAGCCCTTCATACCCCAGCCAAAGGGCATGGAAAGACCCGAGCGAGGGGAAGGCTGTCCGGAGGCTGAAGGCTTGTCCGGCCGTGCTGCAGCTTCAGCCCTGCAAGCCGGAGCTGAGAGAGTACGGAGAGAAGTTCAAGCGAACATCCAAGCCGCCATCAGGAAGGCCATCTCAGAGGGACGACCCATGGAAGAATGGACAGCTTGATGGCGATGCGACCATCTTCCGCGGCAAGTCTGGCTAACCGTTCGCTGGAGAGGAACCTGCCTTCAAATATGCAAGCGATACCCAACCCGTAGCCTGTAGGTTGCAGCCGCCGTTTTCCCTTCTCGTTCCATGCCTGTCACGCGCCTTCGGTGCTTCAGGACCTGGAGCTGCGGCCGATCGCGACCTTCGAAGATTGACTCAAAGTGCTCACGCTGTAGGCGGAGCCATTGGAGGTAGCGCTAGACTGCGCTCAACTTTCTGCGTCCATGGCCTGGGAGCTGGCGCATGCGGATGCCGGTCGGTGATTCGCAAACGAAAAGGAGGAGGTGCTTAGGTGTGTGTCTGTGTGTGTGTGTGAGCGAGAGAGTGTGGTTATTTCGATCGTTCGTTTATTGGGCCTGTTTTTGTGCATGTTCCCGAGGTCTTGGTGGCCATGAGTTTGTCCACGCTGCTCGGTGTTCCGGCCACCTTGCTGGAACCCTAGAAGAGCCCAAGGGCAACTTCTCGGCAGCTTTTTGCTGCAAAAATGCGGTCTCCGAATTGGAGGTGGCATTTGCAAAAGGCGGACTCCGAATCAGGAGAGCCATTGGCTGGTGATCCAAGTTGCAAGCGATGCAAGTTTGGGTGCTGGAGGAAACCGCTTTACAGCCAAACTTCGACGCCGGGCCCTGGAGTTATTGAGTTTCGAAACAGATGCGATCAGAACTTGCAAGGACGAGACCGGGGAGATGTAGAGGCTTGGCGGACACGCTCTGCAGATTGTCAGGCATACCGCGGCCCGTAGCGTGAACCTCTCGAAAGGCCCGCTTCGCAGAATCGATGCGCTGGGCTGAGCTTTCAATGCCGGGCCATTCTCCTTCTCTCTGCGCTCGGCATCCAGCATTTATCCTGTGCCAGGTTGAGGTTTGAGTGGTTGCGTGTTGCTGCTGTTGTGATCCACGGCTGGTGGTGGTGGTGGTGGTGGTGGTGGGGCTGCTGCTACTGCTACTGCTGCTGCCGCCATTGCTTCGTTGTTGCGTTGATGTTGGAGACTGGGTGATCCCACAAGAGGTACTAGCCCGCCTTCACGATCCACGATTGATTCGGAAAAGACATGCACCCGAGGCAAACAATGTGGCCGCAGCAAGCCTTGGATGATTCTGACGTTCCATCCACTGCCGCATGTCCGAACTGGATTATTAGTCGCTGGGTGACGTTCGAACCTTCGTTGAGCATGAGGCCGACATAGCCAAGCAGCTGGATGCCATGGAGAAGGAGCAGCGGCAAGCTCTGCGTTCATGGCCTACGTGAGTCTTTAAGTTATGGAGAAGCCAAGCTGTTCCACATATGAGGCCGCTTGACGACTTCCGAAATGCCAGAGGGCCGGAGCAAACCCGCATCATCCGAAAGGTCCACGCAGAGGCCGTCCAAGCTGCGATCTGCATCAGTCACAGTGCCCGCAACTCTTGTGCCGATATCAGCTCTGCAGGCCTCTCGAGCCAGCCGAGCGCAGCAGGTGCATCGCCGCATGTAGCCGAGGCTTGGACCACTCGGATTTTGCAAGGGGGGGATGTGCCTGGCAAGAGCATCCTGGAAGATACCTGGGCGAGCGGAGGACTTAGCGGCTGAGGAGTTGTGCCTTCAGAAAGTTTTAAAGTTGTTCCGAGCACAGCACTGCTGAGGCTTCTGAACTCAGGCTCCGAGCTGTGGGCGACTCCTGCAAGGAAAGCCACGTCCTTTCTGCAATTGGACTGGAGGTGACACTGAAAGGAGCTTGCCCCAAGCGCAGGACGCGCCGGTCCCTCGGACCGGGCGGTCCCACGGCCGGCCGTTACTTGCCCAACCAATGTCCCGAGGTGCGCAGCTGCTGGGGTCGCAGCCTCGGGCACAGCCGAGTGATCGGAGCACTCGAGCACTCGTCCTGGCAGTTCACGACTTGGGTCTGCAGGGTGCAGGGCTGGGAAGGCATCCTTAGGCCGTAACCACCTCACACATCTGTCTACACGTATCCGTTACATCGGATCCACTGTCGTTTAGATCGCTGTGACTGCGCAACGAGAAAATCCTCCAGCACGGATACAACCGAAACCCGACTTTTGATGGAACGTGATCTGGAGCAACGCAGAGATGGCAGAACGCTCGACAGAAATGCAAAATCGACTGTGGAAGCCGCTGCCATGCGAATGTACGATGCTCAGGCGCGAGAGTGGGCGCACGTATACGATTGTGAGGACTTGCAGGTTTTATGGATATGGGGTGAAGTACTACGAGCATGGCAGAGGTGCAGGTTCTGTCCCCCTCAATGATTTACGGCCTAAGGCTCCATCCATTTGGAAAGGCTTGCGAGCGAGTTTTGACAGGATGGGCGGGGTTGATAGTGGTGGCTTTGAGGTGGCGCATAAGCAAAATGACACGATGGTGCCGTGGAAGCGCTGAAAATCAGAGTGGTCGCGAAGATGATCTGGATGCGCACGGCCCCTTTGACTGTTGTTGGCATTCATCTGCATGATGAAGAATCGCATGGAGGATGCCATGTGGGAATTATGCGCCTCTATCTCATGTGCCTCCCGCTCGAGCTGCGTCTTCTTTAGTCTTTCAGTTTCATGTCTCCATCGCAGGAGGGATAGTTAACACGGCCGCGACAAGCAGACGGTTGTCGTGATGGTTTGCTTGTTTGCGCAGTGTCCGCGAGAGAAGCTTGCGTCCGTTGAGGACTTTGAGGATCCAGAGCATGCATCTTTAGTCATGGATGGTCCCGGAGGGATTGAGTTTCCGAGTTGCTTTTGTGGTGACTGTACGGTCAACAAGCAAAGCTTTGGGCACCACGCTCGTGCTCAGGACTCCTGCGCCGGAGTCACGTGTTCTTCATTGCAACGTTCGCTCCTTTGACCGGGAGGGTGGGAGGCTGTGGGAGGGACTGAAGGGACGATTCCATTGCAAGTTTCTGCAACGAGGCTGTTCAGCACGCAGCCAGGGCCTCATGGGATCGTGAATTGCATTTGCTTTACGGATGTTGGCCGAGTTCGCCGTAAGACCCTGCAGTGAGGAGCAGAATAGTTCGGAACAGACCAGAGTCTAGTCTAGAACAAAGCCGCGCAGAGTCGGGAACAGGAACGCGCAGAATCAGGAACAGAAGTCAGCAAACACCATACATTAGAACAAAGACCCGAAGCAGACCAAGAACCAAGCTCAACTCAGCATTACATTTGGTTTGTAAGCATTACATTCAACCTTTAGTTTGTAAGCATTACATTTACTCCTTCTCTGTTCCGGAATCAGTCCTTGCTTCGTTCCTGACTGCCTCCGGCTACTCCTGACTCCTGCCCCCTCTCTGTTCCCGACTGTCCTCCGCTTGTTCCCGACTCTTTTGGCCGACTCACCTCTCATCCCTTTACTTTACAGTCTAGCATACAATATGCGCAACAGACACACATTCGTCAGCCGACATGTACACGCACAATCACGCACATGAAGGCATGTACATTCTATACTTATACACATGCAAGGATACGTGCACAAACAAGTTACACGTGAACACGTGAATAAAGACGTATACATGCATAATCATGCATACATACATACATGTGTGCATGCGTGCATGTCTATATGATCCCCTTGCCACCGTGCATTGATTTTCCTGTTTTCAGAGGTGTCACCAAGAGATCTTGGAGTGAGGCGTGACGCATGATTCCGTGACCTCGAGAAACTTAGTATTGCTGGTTTTCGGTTCTCACATTGCACCTACATTGACTCACGTGAGTCCGTGAGTCCCCCGCCACAACTGGCGTTGCGCACGGCACGAGCTATGCGTGCGATGGCTGGGCATTCGTGTGTTGGCATAAGAAAGCCATGTTGCTGTGACCCCATCGTGTCGCGCGCCGTGCGCGTCCCCTCCAACAGGTTCCAACACAACCTTAGCTTGTCTGGGGTCTGGCTTCAAGTTAACATATTCACATACATAACCATATAGCCAGGTCTGCTTGCACATGTATGACAAGGTACAGGTACACATATGCGACCGGGAGTGTCTCATATGCTGTCTTCAGCTGCATCGGTGGACCTGAGGAGGCTTTCCGTATTTGGCGCAGACACCGCCGAATGGACCTCCAGAGGCTGCGGATTTTCAGGGCTTTGCGATGGTCTAAGGCTTGGAGTTCGGGACAGGGTTCGAGCTGTTTGGCTCAGACAAGGGCACGGTCCCTTCGCAGCTACTGTGTTCAATGATGTTCAACATTCAATGTGGACCCGTCGGTAATGTGCTGAGGGCAAACAATCAACTTCAACTTCAAGGTTGCATGTGAGCGCGATGGCAAGATGATTGTTCGAAGCAGGTTAGTTGGCAACCAGATCAACCAGCACATACCAGCGCCAGCTTGCAGCGAGTGACTTGTTGCGAGTGCTGCTGCTGCCCAATGACTATGGCTGATCAAAAGCGATGTCACACGGACGTGGACGTCTGCGGCCAGATCTCCCCTCGACGGTGGGACAACGATCTGTGCAATTGCTTGAGCCATGTGTCAGAAGTCGGCGACGGCTCTCAGGCAGCTCTTTGTATGGCTACCGTCTGGTGTGGGAGCACCAGCAATTCCCGTCTTAACCAGTTGTCTCCACATCCGCAGGGACACCGTCATGCCGTCCACCTTCTGTAGTCTCCGCCCTCCTTGTTGAGTGATCAACAGAAGTGTTGCTCGTTGAGAGAACTGGGTCCGTTTTCTTGGCCGCGCTTGTGACTCTGAGTCCAGCGATAGGTGAACTGCTTCTCTGACTCCTGCAGTCCACATGCAGTCCACGGAATGGGGTGGGACGCACAGGTTAATGCAAAGGTTTGCACTACCAGTCACTACCGACTTAGCCCACTTTGCCTGGTTCCTGAAGAGCTTCATAGATTATGTCTGGCTGTTGATTTTACTGCTCCTCCTGCTGCTTTCTTTCGGTTAACTCGTGCCGCAGGGGTCATGGATTTTGCGACTGATGGCAGGGCCTGCAGGATACAGTGGGCATGGCGATTCTGTGGCCAAGTCACTGCTATAGCTGTAGCTACGGAAAAAAATCTCGTCGCTATGACCAGCCTGTGTAGCGCTACATGAAACTGCCCGAAAGCCACAGGGCCCAGGTATAGAAGCATCACCAGGTTTTCATGACAGGTACCGTACGAAATGTGACAAGGGACAATCGTGTGAAGGGTGCCTTGATCGACTTCCTGACCAGAAGACCCGAAAGCCAAAAGAAGAGGAGGTCAAAACCAGCCTGGCACAGGTGTCCTACACCAAAGCGTGTTCCGCCACGAAGCCTCGGGAGGTGCTGGCCTGCTGGCACAGCCCTTCTGCGGAACTTTGCTGTTATTCTGCCGCTTTGCACCGAAGTGGCAGGTCAGCACGTCCTGGGCGATGCAGCCGCCGCGCTCACCGGTTTCTCGAGAGCCTCTGAGGCAGCGCAGGGCGGCAAAGTCTACGAAGCTTCGATGTCCAAAAGTGGAAAACAAGGCCCGACGAGCTGGTGATCGTCGCACGCCCCTGAGACCTGAGACTGCTGTGCCAATATAAGGGCCAAAAAAGAATTACCCTTAGTATTTTGGGGGGGTTCCTTATTATAATTATAGTATAATGGGCCCCCGAATCCCTTATTCTAACTCTTAAGACCTCTCTAACCCTAGAGTATTGGCTACGGCCTGGTGCGGCCTTGCGCCTGCCCCCTAAGGTGATCGCCCACAACCGCCCAGACTGTCTGGAAAGATGTCTCGCTGGCCTCGCCCAGCTCGACGAGGCTGAAGTCTGTCTACTTGGAGGATCATGGGACTTAGTAAGTAGGGGTTTCTACTATACTAAGGTAACTTTTATTATCACCCCATTACTAAGTCCCATGATAGCTGGGCGGGTGGGAAAAAAGTCCCATGATCCTCAAAGTAGTACTCGTAAGCCGTAGGAGGACCTCGAACTTGCTTTTGACAAGTGGAAAGTCTCGGACCATCATGAGGCATGAAATCAGTCCCAAGGTTTTACCGGGTGTGGATTCGGTGGAGCCTCCAAGCCTTTCGAGGGCGGAGACTGCACAAGCATTGGCGAAAGCATTGCGCGGTTGCATCTCAGAGATTGAAACGGAACCCAAAACATAGCTTTCGTGTGCCTTTGCCAAAAAGTTCTTTCTCGTTGGTGGCCACGAGGATGCTGCATGAGGATTCCTTTTTTGGGTGTTACCTGCTGGAAGCTTGGTGGTTCTGCAGATCCAGAACTTTCGCATTGCCGTGTCCCTGGATGACGCATCGTCTTTCGGCAACATGGAAGCAGCAGCTTCAAGCTCAGTGTGACACAGAAATGACACGCACCGCTGCTCCCTTGGAGTCTTTGGGAACTGTGATTGCCATGCAAGGTGCGGAAAGCCGCGCCCAATTTGAAGGTCGATGTCTGGAAGCTTCCCAAGCTGTTTCTGTAAGCTCTTGGGGCGATATGTCTCTTAATGCAGATCAGACTTGTGATGACTTGTGGCCTTCTTGCGCCAGTCAAATTCTTCCGGAAAGTGGTGGGGCGACAGTACCAAGGAGCGACTCGTGAGCCTAGGCACAAGAGCAAGATTGCAGGGGATCGTGCCCCACTGTGGGCTCCTGAGTTTTGTCACGTCCAACTTCCTTCAAGACCAGAACTTTCTGAAGCTCCGAGATTTTGAGGCAATCAAAAACTGCAGTTTCTAAGATCTCCGAGCACTTTCGATTCGCCTTGGCGGAGAGCTTCGAACGCCCGTGGCTGATCCAGTAGTTGTGCCTTGCACAAGCCACGACTCTTGTTGAAGCGAAACAATTAGCACAGATGAGGGCAGCAGTTTGAGTTCGCGATCTTTTTGGAGAACGACCTGCTGGCCACGAAGCGGCAGTTTTTGCGACACCTCAGGGTTAATGCTCCTGGCGAAAAACACACAAGTTCCATGAGATTCCATGAGGTTTGTCTACTGTCTGCGAGGTTTCTCCTGATTTCCTGTGGCTTTTCCGAGCCGCAGCCTGGTTGCTCCTGGACGCCTGCTGAAGTTGACCTCGTTTCATCGTTTCATCTCGTCTCGATGCGCAGGAAGATCCGACTCTGTTCTGCGTCTCGGCCTGGAATGACAACGGCACCTCAGCGGAATTTGTGTTCGGTAGTCCTGTCATGTGCTGATCTCAGAGACAACAGAGATGGGAGTGCGGGAGCTCAGGATTTCCTGGCTTGGTCTCCAACGAGTCTAAGCTGTTTCGTGCGCTCAGAGTCCACCTACCTCCCGAAACTCCGATCCCTCACCCTCAAACCCTCCATCCTGAAAGGTACTGACTACTTCCCCGGCCTGGGATGGATGATTCACAAGTCCACATGGCTTGGTTTGCTGAAGGAGGAGCCCATTGCCAGGGGTTAAGGGAATCGAGAAGCAAAAAGGGGTGGGTTTCTACGTTAGGGATTTTGTTCTTGGATCAATAATCAATAATCAGCACGGCACAGGGGCTTCTTCTGAGCCGCGCGGTGGGGGTAAGTGCGGAAGCGTCAGCAAATGCCGAAGCCGATGCTGACAGTTGCGGTGATGCCCATGAGCCTGACAACGATTATGGTCATGAACGTTCATGAACTATAATAGAGGGGAGAGGGAGAGAGAGAGAGAGAGAGAGAGATTAGTGTGGCTGGAGCCCCGTGAAAGAAAGAAGGAAAGCTTTTTATGAGGCTTATTTTTCCCCGAGAGCTCGAAGTCGTGTTTCGCGGTTCCTCCAAAGATGCCCATACAGCATGGGCTCAGCATGGGTGGGCCTTTCGGGTTGGGCAACCTTGTTCGTTCCCCTTGCCCTCTAACTTCTTGGCCAGCAGACCGGGGAACCACACATTTTTGACTGTTACACTCTGACCCTGCCGCTTCCACACCCTCCTACAAAGCCCCAAACCAGGGGTGCTTCTCTCGGCGCGGGGTGCTTGACACGCTCCCCATGCGCCGAAGACAAGCCAAGACAAGACAAGGAAGTAGGTCATTTGCTGTTGTCTTACTTGCTTTAATGCTGTGGCCGAAGCGCGACACATCAGCCTTCCGCCAGTGGTGGATGACCTGAGTGGAGCCTGAGAGGGTGTACGCTATCGTGTTATGGTTTAGGCCCCTAAAACACCCTCATTCAGGGGAACACCCTTACGTACCGAAAGAGGTCGAACAGGCGCGGACTGCGGGGGTACGCCTTCAGGCCAGGGGGTGTGAGCCGCCTTACGTTTCACATGCCACTTTGTCTCATCTGAGCCCGTGGGAGCTTGAATATCTTGCGCTTTTTTGTGTTTGCTTGGAGTCATGTCATGTGTCGTTGGCCGGGGCCTCAGTTTAGAATACAACCGCGGTGGCATGCTCACCTACTGTATCCTGACATACTCTGACTTGACTTGGGTACTTGGGAGATGCTGCTTGTTCGAAGCACATCGGGAATCGACTCGCCAATGCCAACTATGTTTCCTCCCGAAAGCGGAGGTTCACAATGGTAGGGTTCGCAGTGCAGTTTTTTGTTGCGACCGTTTTGCGCAAGCAAACGTCCCAAACACAACAGCACAATAGGCAACAGGGAAGCGAGCGGACTGTGAGGCCCCTGTCAGACGCCAGTGACCACTATGCCCAACAGAACGAAAGACGTATGTTCATGCTTGTGGGGATGCTGATGACGGTTGCTGAGCATGATGCAACGTCGATGGTAACTGTGGTGGTGGAGATGGTACGTGTGGTCTTCTTGGTGCTAGTGCTAGTGACTGCTAGTGACTGCCAGTGTTGGTGAAGACAGCAATGCTGAGCAGGATGATGTTCGCGGTGACGAGGCTTTCGATACTTACGGTGATGACTCAGTGATTTCAGTGATCGTGATGTTGGTGAAGATGTCGATGTGCGTACCCTGGCTGTCATTTTTTCGGTTCGATCGAAACCCCGCCATGCGAGGAGTGGCCGCGATTCCCGAGCACAGGCAGAGGGCTCAATCAAGAATGGCAGCCTGCCGCGCTTCAACGAAGCTGAACGTGCGCAATCCTGCACAATGTACTGCAAAGAAATCCACTTGAGGCTGGGACCACTGGCTGAGGCATGGCTCTGGTCTGTATCCTCGAGAGTGCATCGTGCCAGAAGTATCCAGGACGCTTGGCCAGTTGCCTTTTGAGTGCGCGCATATATGTATATGTATACACATGTACACTCTTGCATGTGCCTTTTGTTTGTTTGCACTTACACGAACATACGCACATGCACGCAACACACACGCACACACGCGGAGAAATGGCGCTTATTCCAGTTGGTCCATCGGCTTCTGCCACAAACTATTCTTCACGATGTTACCTTAGTAGATGTCAGAAACTTCAGGCAAGTCAGCATGCCAGCATGCCAGGTTTGTGGCTTGGCCTGGTTGCCATTCGAGCTTTCGAATTGGCGAGCTTTCCAGGTTTGTGGCTTGGCCTGGTTGCCATGCGAGCTTGCAGGCACGCCGCACTGATCAGGTGCAGTATCCCACTCTGTGACCTAGCTTTGTTAGACTGGGTAAGTCACAGAGTGCCCAGTCCCCCTGCAGCTGTACAAAACGATGTTTGTCAATATTCCAGAAACCCTTGGCGATGGTCAGGGCTTTCACACACACACCCCCC